CTGACTGGGCTGGCTTGTATTCTTGCCTCCTCAAGACTGAAATCACTTGGTTCATAATAGACTGAAATCTCTCTGATCCTAGGGGCTGCACTCAATTTTCCTATCTGGGCATCCCACTCTTAATTGTACAGCTCTCCTAACTGCCACTCAGATTCTGCTGCAGTTAATTACTGTATTCCAGCCTGGTATTATGCATGCATCTGCTCTGAAAAGCGCCCTTTTCTTTCCATTGGAATTTGTTTTAACAATTTCTTCTATATTAGATTAGATTAGATTAGATTGCCCATCGCATCCTCTTCCATCTCTCTGACAGTGACACTTACATTTCTCACTTCCTCTCCTCTATTAAGCCACCCACAATCCCGTCTCTCATGACTTCCATGTACTCCTAATTTTGCCCCTCTTATTTTTCTTCTTAATATCTCACTGCTGTCTCATTCCTGCTGCTTCCAATATCAGCTAGCTACGGTTTCTCCATTTCAAAAGACAAAGACAAACTGTTGCATGTCCCTTTGCTGCTCCCGTGTCTTCCTTTTGTTGTTCATCTTTTTATCGTTGGCTACGCCATTTGTAAGCATAGCCTCAGGTTTCACTGCACCCCCTGCCACAACTCGATCCACTCCAACTTGACTTCTGTGTTTTCCACTCCCTAGAAACTGCTTATGCCAAAGCATCTTCCCAAGCAGCTCAGCGGCAGAAAGAGATCTCGGAGTCATAGTTGACTCCAAGATGAACATGAGTTGTCAGTGTGATGAAGTGATCAGTAAAGCTAACAAGGTTCTTTGGGTGCAGAATTTGATATCTTTTATTAGACCAACTTAAATAGCTGAAAAACAATTATTAAGTAAACTTAACCGCACTTTATCGTGTAGTAAAGCTAACTGCACTTTATTGTGCATTAGCAGGTGCATCACGAACAGATCCAGGCAGGTGATACTTCCCGTCTATGTGGTGCTGGTCAGGCCGCAGCTGGCGTACTGCATCCAGTTTTGGGCACTGCACTGCAAGAGGGATGTGGATAACCTTGAGAGGGTCCAGAGAAGGCTACTCAGATAGTTAGGGGTGTGCAGGATAGGTCCTACGAGCAGAGATTGAAGGACCTGGATCTCTTCACCCTCTGCAAGAGAAGGCTGAGAGGGGATCTTGTGGCTGCCTACAAATTCATCAGGGGAGACAGCAAGGGATAGGGGATGCCCCATCGGGGTAACTAGAAACAATAGCCACAAACCGAAGGACAGCAAATTAAGACTGGACATCAGGAAAAAAAATCTTTACAGTGAGGGTTGCCAAAATATGGAATACACTTCCAAGGGAGGTGATGCTGTCCCCTCCCTTGGAGGTATTTAAGAGGAAATTGGACAAACTCCTAGCTGGGGTCATCTGACCCCAGTACTCTTTCCTGCCCAGGGCAGGGGGTTGGATTTGATGATCTACTAAGGTCCCTTCCGACCCTAAAAAACTATGAAATGTGTCAAACTCTTCTTAGTCAAACCTTAGCACCTCTCCTCTAGCTGTATTCTCCCTGACTACTTCTGAGGTGGTTTGACATGCACTCCTTAAAATGTTGTCCTCAATTTTCATTCTGTCCTTTGCTTGTCCCTCTCATCGTGTGATCACGTTGTTAGCCTCTCATAGTGCCTCCTCCTCGCAGGACTCCATCTTCCTTCAACCTTTCTCCTCCCTCTTCATCCTTGTTGTAGATCTTTCTGCCCACATGGGTTCCAACTATCATCTTTCTGCTCACAAATTTACTCCTCTGCTCTTCACCTGGGTCTTTATATCTACTCATATTGCTTAGCCTATTTCTCTGATATCTCATCAGAAGCTCTGTTAGCACTTTAAAGTGAAGAAGGTCAAAACTGAGCTCCTCTTCTGTCCAAAACCTTCTTCCCTCCTATCTCTGTCACTGTGGACAAAATTGCTACCTTTCCATGGCCCCCAAGCCCATAACCTGGGTGGGGCTGTATAGAGAGCTGACATGAACTGTTCTAGTGGTTAATGAGAAGGTTGATATTCAAACCTGCTCCATCCTTGGAGCATCTCTTAAGGTAGACATAGTTATTAGTGCAAATGGTTTCTGATAAGGAGTGGAATATTTCTTTTGGAGCAGGGTTGAATATAAATTATTGCACTGCTTTGACTTTGTTGAGCTGTCATTGCAAGTACCATGCTGTTGATTAACATGGCTTGATTTGACCTGGTGTCATGATTCCCAAAGGCTTTGGTCAAAATTATTTTGCTACCCTCACACTCCTTGAATAGATCAAATGCGTCTGAAGACAACATTTTTATTTCCATTAGTTGCGCTATTTCCATTTTCACTACAGCCATGGAAGCGGACATTTTCATAAATCTCCTGTTCTTTGTCCCTGATATTTTTATTATATTTAATTTATGATATTTAATTTTTATGAAGTTTGAACATGACACCTCAAGAAGGACCTTGGAAAATGAAGGTCTGGGCTTGGAGTAACATAAAATAGTACTTTCTGGTCCTCCCAGAGCTAACTAACTAAGGACTTATCAAGACTTGCATGTTGATTTGGGTTAATATAGGGTTTGAATTTAAAGCATGTAACTATTTCTGAATAACATCACGTGTCATCCTTCAGAGTAAGTGCCTTATTTCTGCTTAGATTAAACCAATTTGAAAGGCTGTGACTGTAAAGCACAACAAGCATTCCTGAATTACTCTTGGATGTATTTTACCAAAACCCATAATTTAAAAAGTACATCTAAGGCAAGCAAACAAACACATGGGCTATGGTTTATGGGAGCCCTTTAGAAATAAGAAAAAAGATTTAGGATGATGAGATGTGAATGATACCATTGCCAGTGCACTGGATTTTTGGATTGGTTACTGATCATCTAACAAAGAGCAGCTTTCCTTTGGTTGGGGTATGGGTTGCTGCACTTAGAGGTTGCAATATAATAGGGATGACTTTTATAGACTGGTGTTACTTGTAAACATGTTTTCATCACAGCCCCTGATTAAGTGCTTTACTTCATACAAGAACTATTAGCCCAGTGCTGATGAGAAATGGTTATTTACTTGCAGTTTGCAATAAAGTATATCAAAGCATTAGGCCAGTAAATTTACATCGTCAAGGGACTGGCATGCATCTGATCAGCTCTAAAACTTACCCATGGGTCTAAATATTGCCCAAACACTTGCTATTCTCAACCTTGGCAGTCTAATTTCCTTGCAGGTCAAAGACTCTCTAGGAAACTTGACACCGATTCCTCTGCCCTAGCTTAGCAGCACACTGCCTGATACAGTGCACCCTACTTGTACTTCTCGTAGCTGCATCTATAGACAGCAATTATCTGTCAAGTGTTCTGTGCTACATCTGTGTAAATGATACAGACACTAATGGCAGCATCTTGCACTTAACCCAAAGGAAAGGATTTCCTGTAATGTAAAAGTAATGGGTTAAACACAGAGTTTTACAGAGATTCAGCTATACGAGAGAGGATAATTAAGTATCCATAATAAGGCAGCTTAACAGTATAGGGAATGACATTCCTCCACATAAGGTGTAATTAGTTGTGTATTCCTGACACATCCAATGTAGATGTTAGATTGGAAGATATCTCCCCCCCACCCCCTCAATGTAGTTTTTAGTTTGAATTGGTTTATCTGTGCTTTTTTCCCCCCTACATTTGAGGATTCAAAGCCACTGCTTTGGGAACGAGGTTCCAGTTTGACATTTTTCACGTTGCCATTAATTTTTCATTCCAACCGCTTCTCCGTCTACCGCGCATGGATTGATTAAAGTTTTGCATACCAAAGCACTTGCTCAGATTAGTCTGTTTGTCAATGAAGACTTTAGCAGAGATAACATTTCCGAAAGGCATGAACATCTGCAGAATGTCTTGGTCTCCAAACTCCTGGGGGAGATGGTAAATAAAGAGGTTTGCCCCTTCTGGACCTTTAGAGAAACAAGCACAGCATGAAAATGTTTATTAGGGGTTTTATATTTTATCCAGCTTTCTTGACAATATTTCTAAGGGGGTGACGGGCAAAAACATTTCAGTTGCAAACATTTGGAAGTAACCAACTGCATAAAGTAGTCAAAGTAGAGTTGAAAGGCAGGTCCTTTATAGAAGAGCTGCCCTTGTCTATGTTCTTTACTCAGCATTGCTGCCAAAGGAGAAGGCGAAGTGTAGTCTCCTCCTTAAATTTGCATAAGTGTCTTAAACGGGAGAGAAAAGACTGCATGAAAGTGGCAGCTTCTTCCAATATCTGCTCTCTTCAGCTCTTCAAGTTGTATAGCTGTGTGCTGTGCTGCCTCCCACATCCTCAACTATTGTGTCAGCTAAATTTTGTTTGTAGAGATTAATGTAAGAGCTACGAAGAGCCGGGTTTAGTTTCTGAAGATCTCAGGTTTAAGTCTGTAGCACAGGCTTCTGGGGGATGGGAGTCAGGGCACAAAACGCCTTCTGATTTGCAAACTGATTTGCCATGGAAATCATTGAGAGAAGATAAAAATAAGAACTCCTGAGAGTGAATATGTAGTTACTTCCCAGATACATGGATTCTTTTAACAAAAGAAAGAAAGAAAGAAAGAAAGAAGGGAAATGACAGTTGGAAAAACTCTTATCTCGAGGCAGGAAATGCCGTCAAATATATTTACAAAACCCTAAAAAAATCCCTGAACCGTTCTTTTAACAAGCGACAACAAATGCAGTTCTTGTGAAACTCAAATGTTTTGTGAAAACTTTGGGATTCTCAAAACATTTTCAAGTTTTGAACAAAGGCATTCAAAGGCTTTTTTTTTTTTTTTTTTTTTTTTTTTACTTGATTTTGAACAAAAATATTTCCCTTTCAACTGACTGTTTGTGAGCCACTTGAAATATTTTTTCCACAGCTCCAGCCTACCATTATCAGCCCCCAAAACAGGATCATTGATCCACTGTATCCATGGAAAACTAAGATGCTACTTGGTTCTGGTGCAGACAGGCTCTGGGGTGGTCTATATGGATATTCTCTAGTTTGATGGCCGGCAAACTAAATGTGACCTAAATGTGATGTGCTTGGTTACTGCCTAGGGAAGGAGAAGAAAGTACAATCTCAATACTTCTGCAATACCTCCTGCAGCGGATTCATAGAGCCACGCTGGTGTTCCCATTAGAGGAACTGGACTACCTGCCCTCCCACCGCCTGATCAAAAGGGGTGCATACGTTGGAAAGGAAAAAGAGAAATAGGGTAGAAAACCAAACAAAATGAAAAAAAATAACCCAAATGGCAGGAAGGAAGGAAGCCAGAAGAAGTTTCTTCTGACCAAAAATAAGATGTCCTTTTAATGGACCAAGCTAAACAGACTGAACCTAGATCTACAGAAATATGCTTAGAGACCTACCTAAATCAGGGTGACTGATGTCTGGTTTTTGCCGTCTGAGCGCCCGGTGCCATTTCTGTGGTGCAGTGTGGTGGCCCCCCTCCCCCCCACGACTGTGATTGGCTGAGGAGCCCCAGAAGTCTTGCCCCTCCTCAGAGATTGACAGATGGCCCCAAACTGGGACTTGCTAATGCGTCAATTAATGGCTTACACGGGCTTAATCTCTTGACACATTATTAAGTGGTCTAGGATGAGGTTAATGGCTTCTGCGGGCTTGATGAAGCTCGTGGAAGCCATTAACTGCGTAATAGACTGCTTAATAATGCATCAATTAATGGCTTCCATGGGCTTGATTAGGGGATTAAGCTTGTGGAAGCCATTAATTGATGCGTTAGCAAGTAGTCTAGGATGCGGTTAATGGTTTCCATGGACTTGATCACATGCCAGGAAAGGAGGCAGCTCCTCACACAAAGCCACTGAAACACACGGGTGCCCCGGTGGGCAGGCAGGCAGGCAATGCCAGGCTGGGCATTTGCAATGCAATGCAATCCCCCCCCCACCAAAATCAAAGTGAAAAAAAGAAGGGGGAGGTCAGGCTGCTTTGCAAACTCCCAGGCTGGCCCTTGAATGGCTCATGGACTGAGCCCATGTCAGGGTCTGTCTCTGATTTGCTTCCTCTCCCCTTCCCCCTCCCTCTCTCTCTTTCTCTCCCTGCCCCCGGCTTCAGGATGCCAGGGCTTCTTGCAGTTTTCTGTTTTGCAGCTCCATTTTTTTTCTTCCCCCCTGCTCGCTTGCCGATTTCGCGCCTTTTCATGGTCCCCACGCTTTTTCACAGAGACCAACCGAATTTGTGGCTTTCATGAAAATTGTGACATCACAAATTTGGTAGGGCGCTAAATATGAATAACGCAGTTTTCCAAATTTCAGCATTAACGTTTAATGCAGTATTCGCCTCTGGTCTATGGCTCTCCCCCTTTCCTATTTAAGACACCTAGCTATTCCATTAGGAGTCAGATGCTAACACATAAAATGAAGGCAGCAGAACTCAAAAATGAAATGTGCACTTAAAATGTACCAACTGGAAAAAAACCAAAACGTAGATGATAAAGGCTACAGCTTTAAAGGGGCATTGCCCTGCAGGCTAAATTAACACAACCTGCTAGTGTTAAAAACACTTCATGAACTTAAAACCAACAAAAACCATTTGGAAAAACAGAAAAAGCCTCTCACGTGAGTTTTTTTCACCATCATCCAAACTGAGTGACATGTGAAAGTGAGCAGCAGATAGCAAAGAAATGGACAAATATACATTTATTAAGAAATCTTTTCAGTTTCAATAATCTAATGTTTTATGTCCCTGTACCCTAGCTTGGGGGTCTCCGTGTCACCTGGAAGGTGTTCTCTTAAAATAATGCAAGAGAATTTTAAGGGTGGTTAATCTTTGGATGGCCGTAAAATAGCTTATTTCTGAAGCTCATCCCTGGCAAGAACTGTAATGGCAACAAAAACTTTCTTAGAAGCCGTATAAAACTTTCCCACCCTTGTAGTATTTACTTGAAGTTAGGAAGGAGGAGAAAAAAAAAAATCCTAAATACAACCCTCCCCAAAACCTCAAGGTATCTGCAAAGAGAGAGAAGCAGCGCCTCATTTCACTAAAGATCTTGCCATTAGTATTAATTTATTTTTGGTGTTAACTTCCTGAGGTTTATTTTGCTCTATTGGCACAGGGAGGGGGCAATCAATCACTTGTTTGCTTCCTCGCAAGATCCACAACTAAGCAAATAACCACTCAGTGTAACGATGGATCTTGTCATTAACTTGGAAACTAACTTAAATAAGAGAAGCGACATGATCGCAGCACACAGAAACCAGAAGAGAGGAAATTCACCTACTCCACCCTTTTCCCCTCTGTGTTACTCCTAGCAACAACAGCACACACGCTTTAAACATTATTCTTGTTATGGATGTCTATTATGACTCACCAGTGAGTCCATTTATATTAATAAATAGGGGAAAGTAAGACACATTCTCAAGGTTGCACTGTCAAAATTAAACTAAAACATAAAATAAAATGTGAGAACAAAGAAAAAGGAAAAGAAAAATCAGTGGTTAGGCTAATCCAGTTTTTGGAAAAAAAACCCCATCTATGGAAATAAAAGCCCAAACCAAACCAAGTTAAATGGGCCGAAGTTACTTTGATATATTTGCTATATTAAGCAATGGAACAATAATCTGCTACTTGAGATGTTTGCTTTGTTGTCTCACCTTCCTTCTGGCTGCCTGCAGCACTTTGTTGCTGTAACAAGCTCTGACTGTACAATGTTGGCAGTGCCGCTGCAGCATACTGCTGAATTCCTGAGTAGGCCTGGGTGAGGGCGTCCATTGTGCCGGCTGTACCATTCGTCAAGCCTGTGGCGCCGAGTCCTCCATTCAGGGCCGCCATACCTGAGAGCATTTGAGCAACTTTACAAAAAACCCAACAATAGAGAAAAGAAATTGCACTTGTTCATTAGTGCTTTCCAAAAGTAGTTGGCATTATATGACACCGACAACGACGGCAGTGCATGCAATTCAGCACTTCACCAGATGGAACTCAGAACAAAGAAACACCACTTTGGTAGAGATCACTTTAGCACGATGGTTGGACGACCAGACTGATTTGCATGCAACCTGCTCCTGGCAAGTACGGTAAGCTTTGTGCCTCTGACATTCTGCCCTGACTTCTGTTTCGGCATGCCTACCTCTGCCGTCAATTATGTCGAGGTACCTGAAAGGCCGAGCGCTGGAATCGACTCGAGTGCTAGCACGGCACTTGATCGACTCGATCCGCTGGTTTCCATGTGCATTAAAAAATAATATCATTTGTTTACAATGGATAGTTTTCCTAGAGTCATAATTAGGGAAGGCTGTTCCCAACAGCAATAAAAGCTCAACTGTTTACAGGATCTGCTAGCGCATTGACATTATTCAGTCCAACAGTGGCTCCGGTCAGTCCTTGAAGAGTACCCAGGGAAGTCAAAGGACTGAATGGAATCGGTCCACTTGACTGGAATCTCAGTAAGTGACTGGTGGCTCTCAGGATAGGAGACAGTGGGCTTGGACAGGCGTTTAGTTTCTCCAGGGAGAGTTCCTACTCTCTCCAGAAAAACCACAAGCATATAGAAGTTCATCCTTTTTCTCCCAAAGTAAAAGTGGGAGGAAAATAACTTGGGAACAACCTAAGTGAAGTGGTTCTCCAGGGACAAAACTTCTGTACAGACAGCCGATGAAGAGCTGATCTCTGCAACCCCAACGTGATTTGCTTCACTCTCCTCCCCTCTCACACAGCATGTGTCAGGCTCAGCCAAGCGGGGAGCAGAACACCCCCCCAAATGCTTTGTAGCACAGACAGACAAGGTTCCTTGGGTGAATCTGATATCTTTTATTAGACCAACCCAAATTGTTGGGTTGGTTTAATAAAAGATATCAGATTCACCCAAGGAACCTTGTCTGCCTATGTCCTTAGACCAACATGGCTACAACCTCCACCCCTGTAGCACTTAAGGGGCATGTTCTGCCTAGGGTGCCCACTGACCCATCCCCAGAATACAGGATATTGGGTATTGGGAGGGCCACTGCCTCCTTGGCCAATCAGCAGCGAGGAGTGGGGCCACCTGGGCCCCTTGGCCAATCAGCATCAAGGGGCAGGGCCACCACAAAAAGGCTCCCTCCCTCCCTCCCTGTTTGGCTCTGAAGCCTGCTCCTCCTGGCTGTGTCCAGCCCTGCCTCTAGGCACAGCTAACAAAATCACAAGGACAAGTGATTGACGTGTTTTTCCACGAATGAACTGAAAAAACAGGACTTTCTGTAGGCCGTACCTCATTTAGAAATGGACAAGTGTCAAAGGGTTTAAAAACAGGATGGTCTGGTGTAAAACAGGCCCAACAACTACCCAAGTTTTGTTCCTGGCTTGGTCCCTGCCTGAATCACTCTGCAGCACTTGGTGCAGGGAAGTATAGAAGCATAATACTTCCAGCCCAGCCTTAGCTGGGCTCCACCACAGCACCGGGGAGGGGAAAGGGTGGAGGACTCTTCTGTGAATGGCACAGACCCCACCCGCACCCTCCCTGAGCCTGCCAATCCCTGCCTCCATTCACTTGAAATAAAGCCTGCAAAGCTCTCTGGGCTCTCTAGGGATTTCTGGCAGCCCGCGGTCCACACTGCAGACTTTGCTTCTCTGGCTGAACTTCTGTACAGGTTAGTTTTTCTCTCAGGAAAACAAACTTGGGAGAGTTGTTCTGGATGATTCGATTGACTCAGCCAGTGACTGCTGGGATGCACAATTCACATTTGATCAGAGTCATGAGCAACTAGACATTACCATTATATCCAGGGTGTTTGGTGCCTTATACAAAACTAATCGGCAACTTTAGTCATCCACAGTCCCAAACAAAACATCGCTACAGCAACACACCCTCCACCCGGTTGCTCACTGCAGGAAGATGGCCCACAAAACTGAACAGTCAGAGAGGCAGGGCTCTTTTCTCATTCCTGTTACTGTCCTGGATTGAGAATACATGGCAGTCTCTTCCACTGTCAAGTGAATTGTGTATGTTCTGGAGGATAAAGCCAACTATTTGGTCTTTGGCACTTCTGCTCCTTTCCTTCTCACTGAGTGCATCTACCCATGCACATTTACTGCGCAGTAACTGAAATGACTGCAAAGTACGGGTGTGCACCTACACATACACGCCCATACTGCTCAGTAAATATGGTGACATATGCTGACTTGAGCATAAATTTGATACCTGCATCATCCAGGTATCAAATTTACACCCGATTGGTTACTGCATAATAATGCACATGTAGATGCCTTACTGTGCAGTAACACTGTGTGTATGGACTGATTTGAGACTAACTTTAGTCTCAAGTCAGTCCACACACAGTGTTAATGTGTGTTAATGCCTCCACATGTAGACACCATCCTATTCCCGCTTACTGAGCGGTAAATTTAAGTCAGCGTAAATGCATGTGTAGACAAGCCCCCTGGCAGTAAAACAATACCAAGAATCTCGAGTAGAGCCAGGGAGGTGATCCTCCCCCTCTATGTGACGCTGGTCAGGCCGCAGCTGGAGTATTGTGTCCAGTTCTGTGCGCCCCATTTCAGGAGGGATGTGGACAACATGGAGAGGGTCCAGAGGAGGGCCACCCGCATGATCCGGGGACAACAGGGCAGACCCTACAGTGAGAGACTGCGGGACTTGAACCTATTCAGCCTCCACAAGAGAAGGCTGAGGGGGGACCTGGTGACCGTCTATAAACTCACTAGGGGGAACCAGAAGGGTTTGGGGGAGACGCTGTTTCCCCTAGCCCCTGCTGGCATAACAAGGAATAATGGGCACAAGTTGATGGAGAGGAGGTACAGATTGGACATCCGAAAAAACTACTTCACAGTCAGGGCGGCTAGGAGCTGGAACCAACTTCCAAGGGAGGTGGTGCTGGCCCCTACCCTGGGGATCTTTAAGAAGAGGCTGGATACTTACCTGGCTGGACTCATTTGAGTCCCGTTTTTGTTTTTAGGGTGAGTGGTTTTGTTTGTGTTTTTGGGTTGTTCTCCCGCCCTGGCGGGGGGTCGGGCTAGAAGATCTATTAGGTCCCTTCCGACCCTGAAACTATGAAACTATGAAGAACAACCACCAAAAACCCCACTATTCTCCACCCTGTAAAATGGGCACACTACCTAGAATCACCAGGATGACTGCTAAAGAAGAAATTTGGGGCAAGGGCTCCATACTGTTGTCCGGTGCACCCAGTCTACATTAAAATGCCCATGATATGCATTTTACATCTATTAATTGGTGGTTAACACCATGAATTCCTGTGATGCAGTCTTTCACAACACTTGTCTTCTCCCTTCTTTTCCCTTCCCTCTTCGGGTAGCTAGCCAAGTTTCATGGAGCTTAAACTATTTCAGTTACGCATTTTATTATATATTTTTACAGCAGTTCATGACATAAAAAGGTCCTTTTCTCCCTGAATTGACTTATAGGTCCTTTAGCAAGGTTAAGGGCAATAGGTTGGGAAGAATTTAGAGACTGGTAACTAAAACGATTAAAAGAACTAACAGCTTGATTTTCATAACAGCTGATCATCTACAACTACAACTTAAGTCAGTGAGTTGCAGGTGCCCAACAGCGCTGAAAATCAAGCCATTTTTTCATAAGTACCATATTTATGTGCACACCACATGCACCTTTCCTCCCCAAAAATATCAGCATAGGGGGAGTGTGTCTTAACTATGGAGGCTAATTTTTCTTTGCTCAAAATAGAAACATGGAGTCACTGTGCTGCTAGAGGCCTGCCAACTTCTCTCTGGGACAGCACGTAGGAGGGGTGGAGTCCAGTGTTAACCCCTTCACAGCTGGCAACAGTTTTTGGCTGAGCAGCCAAATGAGCAGCCAAAAACTGCTGCCAACTTGACAGTAGCTGTGACAGTGATAACACTCGACTCTATCCCTCCTACTTGCTCAATCAGAGAAAAGATGGCAGCCATCTTGCAACATATCCTCTCTATGAAAGAGCCAGTTCTAGGCCACAATCCTTGAAAAAAAAATTAAACTTTGCCTTCCAAAACACAGTGCATATCTTATTTAGGGGGTGTATTATACGTGAGACAATACGGTAACTAGTAATCTTAAGTACTGAATAATATCTGAACAGGGCCTCTTAAAATCAAGTTGCTATAATGCATCTCTTACTAAATCCATGAATGCCAAAAGCACACAAAATGACTAGCTACTTATTAAGATTTATGTTGTGATGACTGCCTTACCAAAACTTTGGGTAAAGGGGAAGTGAGATCCTTAAAGTGTTTGAGGACTGTAAATGCAAGGAATAGGAGAGAGGAGTTATTCAGCATGGTAATAAAGGGAATACATACATTGAAAAAGGTGATGACATTAATCAAAGAGCACTTTATGGTTAAGGTCAGGAAAAATTAACAATGAAATGGGTTAGACTGTGCAACTGTCTTCACCAAGGGAAGTGTCACAAACCCTATCACATGAGCAATTTAAAGATGGAGAGCCACTAGAAAGAGAATAATCCTACATTGACAAAGGAGGATAAAGATGATGACCTGAAAAAGTTCTTTACTACCTCTTATGCAGATTCTAACAATGAGAGTAATAATCAGGACAATTGCTCAAGTGGCAACTTCTTGGTACCACTGAGGTCTGTGTCAATTAAGAGGCCTCTACTGTATAAATTATACCTTTTGATAGTAGGATAATTTGTGTAACTAACACTTGACAGAGAAGTGATATTCTACAGCCTTTGCTTAATAAAATGTCCTCACTTGGAAGCTCTAGAACTCGGAGGAGAGGAGAGAGGACATTGCTGCATTTTGACATGAACTGCACTGCACAACATGAATTACAGAGCTAATCTGTAATTCATATACAAGAGTATAAAATTGCCAGATA